CTAATGCTATCAGTCATACAAACTAATCCTGTGGTAGAGCAGCTGACATACATGCATTTTTTTTTCAAAATCACAGAAGTTATTGAAAGGTTTTAAAACTGAAACGTAGTGGATACTAAGTGCGAGGATCTCACCTGTAGATGAAGACGGTGATGGTGACGATGATGACAAAGACGAAGCAGATCACTATGGCAACCATCTGATGCATTGTAACGGTACCTGTGTGGGCGAGCCAGAGAGGCAGCCAGGATCAGCACGGAAAAAAAATAAACTCTTTGCTTCAACCGTATTGAAAATAGAGATCTCTGATGCTTCATCAGGAAGTTTAAAGGGTTTTGTTATTTTGCCTATAATCTGCAGCTATGTCTCAGTTTTCTTGCTCATGGCAGTACAGCCCCTCAGATTACATGTCCTTAATGTCTTTAATGTACTAGCACTCGTTGCTTGGCTTGCAAAAGTATTCAGAATCTTTAAGCTTTTACTTTAATTTTGCTGTATTAAAACCAGAAACTTCAAAGGATCTTATTGTGATAAAAAATTATAGACTAATGCCTGACCTGCAGGGATAGGGAATTTGTTTAGTTTATTAGAATATGAAGGAGTTAAATATAAAGTACTCCTTGAAGAAAAACTGGTAGACGCAAGAGGAGGTTTGGGACTGGAATGGGGGTTCATCATAACAGGCAGTTACAGCGAAGGTATCTAAAATTAAAGCTGAACTCTGTAAGTTTTTAAAAATCACTTTTTTGTCATATTGGCTAAAACTGTCCCTATGCCAAGACAGCAGTACATGTGATATGTAACCGGTGAAAAAAAACTGCTTCAACTGGTCCCGCATACTGCTTGTATTTCAATCTGGAAAGAATCATTCGGGACGAATCAAAACAACCAATCACAGCTAGAGGAGCGTCTGATGGAGTGTCAATCACTTCAGTCGAAGTCTGCTCTCTTCTCAATGTTACAGACTGCAGCTTTAAGGCATACAGGTGTTAGAATGGCCTAGTCAAAGTCCAGATAAAATTCATCATCTGTGGCAAGGCTCTTTATAGAGACTCGCCACGATCAGTGTTGTTTTTAACAACAATCTTACGCTACGTACAAGACCACACGCTGCAGAAGCAGCAGAACCAGCTAGTTTACATTCAAAGTCAAAGGTTGACATGCATCAAGGCGCAGCAAACGGTCCTGCAGCGTGTTTTGAGTAGCAGAAATAGTGCGTCTACGCAGCCAAAGCAGCGTCTCATGAGTTTCTGAGCATCTGACATGCATAATGAACTTCAGAAACAGCAGCTGCTGGAGTTGGAAAAATTGAACTTTTGCTGCTCGATGTGCCACATGAAACAGTTTATTAACGCCTAAATTAACCTCAAATGTTGAAACCTGCTGGCAAAATATATTCAATTTTATTATTCTGGTGCCTGCAGTTAACGGTTGAATGGAGTATTAGATTTAGTCTTAGTCTTAAGGACAAAAACTATTAATAGTCATAGTTGTATTTTAGTCATTACGATATGTGATAGTTTTGGTCTGTTTTAGTCGACTAAAACTTAAAATTTCTTTTTCTAGTTTAACTCGGTTTTATGTTGCAAAAAAAAGTTAACTTTTACAATTTTGAATAATAACCAGATTCTTTACAAGACTTTTATTTAGTCCTGTCTCGTTGATTGAAACTCAAACCTATGACTAGTCATGTTTTAGTGATCAAAGATCCACCTTTAGCTCGTCAGTTTTCGTTATAAAAAAAGGAGTGTCAACGAAATGAGTTTATCACTGTCATCGTGTGTAACAACTGTCAGCAATGAAACATGGTAATAAATAAGTAGATGGTAGAGGATAGTAGAGATGTTGAACAACAATTTATGGCACTCTTTTTTTAGTTTTATGTTTGTAAAACAAACATTGAAAACAGTGGGGCTTTCCTAAATTAAGTTCCACCTGGTGTTGGTCTTAAAATATGTAAGTAATGTGGTTGTCACAAAACAAATTGTATGGAAAAAATAATCTTAGGAGCTCATGGTCAATAGGCTGTTTACAGAGAAGGTTTGCGTTCGATTTCTATATATGTGATGTGGACTGCGTTCATACGTGTATGGCAGGCCGGGTTGTCGTTCTTGAAGCCACATTCAGGGATATCTCGTGGCGGTGAACCTCCGGGCCACTGAAGGGTCCGACCTTTCTGCGGGACCAATTCATTCATGCTGCCTTTATACACAGACACAACCTGAAATACACAACAGCAATCATCAGGATCAATATGTCATTTGAACATAACTCCAATATACTCTTCAGTTTGCCCAGGTATTTGATCATAGTCTTGGTACATTTAGTTAGAACTGGAATTTTAAATTTAGTCTTAGATAAAAAAAAAAACGAAAACAAAAAAACTACAGGACATGGCATGTTATAATTTATGCTTCATGTAAACCAGGGGAGCCAAAGATCAGTCTTTGAGAGTAGGACAGTGTCTAAAAAGGTACACATTGTTTTCCTCTTTTCTCTCCTCCCTCTTTTCTATATCTCTCTCTTTCTCTCTCCCTTTAATTCTTATCCCCTGTCCCCTTTCTCACCTCCCTTTCCATCTCTGTGTCTGCTGCATGCAGTTTTATTCCCTGAATCATTGTCTTGATAGTTTGATATAGAAATACCAAGCAGAAGCTTAGGGCAGCAAACATATTGATCTGTTTGTGAAAGAAAATCTGTTTGGTTGTTATCTAGATCTGGGACACCAACTCCCAGAGCTATATTGCCAAAACAGGATACAAAAACAATAGGTAAATGTATGCTCAATCCCATTAAATTCAGCAGGACAAGCTTAACCAGGAGAAGCAGGAATGTTGCAGATCTGCAGAATTCATGCAATAATTCTGCTGTGACTGACATACTGCAGCATTGACCAATGCAGATGCTTTACTTCCTTCTGCATGCCGAATGCTAGAAGCCACAGGGGTAACTGGCTGATTAATTTATCTAATAACTTTGTGACAACTTAGCTTACAATGTACTAATATTTAATTCTCAGGCCAGCTGACATTTAAATATGAAAGTCAAAAGAAAAAAATAAAAGACAACAGCAACCAAAACATATCCCAGAACTCCAACATTAATCTCAATACACAGGAACAGCTCAGGAGATGATCACATTTAAATTGACATGTTGTAAAGATATGTTTAGACTTGAAGACTTTCCAGCATACATAGTAGATAATAAAAGCAGAGAACTGATACTACTGATACTACTAAATGTCTCTAAAACATTGATTATGTAAGAAAATTAAAATAGGAGAAGAGTTAAAATCTTTTACAAAATGTTAAGAACCTATTTGCTTTTCAAACTATCCCCTAGAAGCTTAGCACTGATCATTGCATCTCTTAGTGGATAATTGATTATATTATCGGGTTGTAAAATAATAATATAGTCAGATGTGCCTTTCATCTGAGGTTGGATTTATCTCATTAATAGACCTCTGAAGGATCGATGTGTTCTGATGTAAATCTAACGTAAACCTGGGTGTTGATGCAGACAGGATGGTTTCAAAAAACTTCAAGGTGGACAGATGAAACTTTTGGAAATTTCTGTACTTATTTTCATCTAAACTGGATTTGTTTTTAGGATGTTATGCATTGGTAAAAATCCCCCAATCCTTTGTCTCGTATTTTATGTGATATAATGTATATAAGACGAAGGGTTAAAAAGAACTTTTAGTTAATAAATAATTTGTTTCATAGATAATCTAAGAGTAAAGGTCATTCTTCACACACTGTTGGACCGTGAAGTTCAAAAACTACAATTATTACCTTACCTGCACACCAGCAGCAGTCGTTAAGTTATTCTTTACCTCATATACTCAATAGTCTCCCATATTATTATTCTAACAGAACCAGAACTAGTTTGATAGAATCCTTGCTGCCTTTAAACAGAGAAGCCATCCTTCTTCATCAGGCGTTTTACCTGAAACTCTCCAGAGTCTAAATCTGTCATGTCCCACACAGCAAAGTCCATCACTCTGTCTCCAAGCTCGTCCATCTCCACCACTCCCAGCACGCCTGTGGAGACATCACATGTTATCATGCAGTTTCTGTGGGTGATTTTTCTGACACAATCTTTTTTTTTTCACTCGGTCAGCAGTTGTTTGTTTTCTTTTTTTCTCCTGAACATATTTTATTATCAATGACATTTGTGTTTTTATTGTGAGTAAAAAAAAAAAAAAAGAGTGATTAAAAACAGTTGCTGCTTTTGTTGATTCCAGTCCAGCAAACTGACAAAAGCCAAGAATGTGTCTGAAAAAAAAAATATGAGGAGGAGGAGAATCTCAGGTTTCAGTTGTGAGGGCGGGAACAACGCAGCATCCAAAAAAAGTAAAAAAAAAATCCAGATTTGGAGCAAACTTTAAGCATCCTAAAAGGCAGACTGGTATTTAAATCAATGAACTGAATTCCAGATGTGCTTTGCTTCACACATTTCCATCTATTCTGCTCATGTTTATTTATTAAATTCAGCTGAATCCGGTGAGGAAATCTACACCTGACAATCTGATGATGGGAATGTTTTCCTGCGAGAACTTTGCATTTGTAACACATTCCTGACCAGTAAAACCTAACACCTGATTGCTTGTAGCATCCAGATAGAAATTATACGCAGAGAAAATAGGTTTTAAAAGCAACAATGGCTCTTTCATGAAAACTAAGCATTGTGAGAAGAGTGAGGAAAGATGTCCAAACTGTTTGACCCAAGTCATATTGTGTTAAAGCTAATTCTGCCAAAGGGGAGGCATATTATTTTAGTTAACATAACTGACTTAAAGAGGATTTCTTTTTGTCTTTAAGCTAACTAAATGGCATCTTTATGCTAAACAGATCATTTTTCTGCCACATGCTGTCAGAAATCATCCGGCTGGACACCACTTCTTCCGCTGGGCTCATACTGAACTTTAAAACCAGGTTAGTGACTTAAATATTAGCTATCATTCCCAGTCAGATTTATGTGGTCACTAACCCGTGTTTCTACCTCTATATAGATTTCAGTCCAAGCTCACAAGCCAAAGATCCCTGAGCAGTTAATAAAGGTTTTTTTTTTTTTTTTTTTTTTTTTAAATAAATCTCTTCAGTCGGTCTGCTTGAATTGTGGGTCCAACTTTCTCAGTTCTGACATTTTCATGGATTCCTACGATCTCTATTTTTGTTTAACGGTTCTAGCTTTGGTTGGTTTGAATTTAAAAGTTTTAGAAACAAAAATCTCATCAAGACTGATGGAGGTTAATTGTTTTCTTTTCATCTTTTCTTGAATCTTTTTAGATTGAGGCTTTATGTGCTGAGATTGAGATCTTTTAGTCTTCATGTTAACTTCATGTTTTCATGAGTGATTTCTTGGTTTTATAGGTCTGACAGTAATCAGACCCAGGTGTGACAAGAACAATTAGAAGTATTCTTCCAAAAATATTGATTTATGACATATGATGCCGTATGATTTACTGTGTTTGTAAAGGGTGAGAAGGAAACAAAAAATAAGTATGTTTTCCATTTAATTAGATTAAATAAAAGATAAAAACATCTTTAGTATTTCAGTGCTAACACCTCAAATCCCATGGAAAAATCTAATAAGTTGCTTAATTAAACTGCAAAAGTGTAGGAAGAGATAAGTAAGCTAATGCTCCATTAGAAAAAGTTCAACCCTTAAACTACGCTTACATCGTTTTTTTCTTTTTCTTATTTGCATTAGTTTTTACATGGATTAAATGCCATTAGAATTGTATTTTATTCAAAAGAGAAGACAGCCCCTTAGAGCTCCCTCTACTGGCCAACAGTGTCAGGATCTTCAATCTGCTACATCCTAAATTCAAACAGTATCAGTCTCTCCACCTCTGACGCACATGCCTAGTGATTGATGGCGCTGACTTAGTTTCAGTGTGTGTTGGTGGATAAAAGCAGTTCAATCTAATAAAGAGCAAGCAGAGCGGCCTGTTTATCAGCCCCATCAACCCGCTGAAAGACACACTGAAATGACAAGGGTGTGTTTGCATGGACCTCAGTGTCTGACTTCTCAGCGTGATCCTGGTTTTGATTATATTACATTTTAGGTATAAATTTAGCTCCTATATACAGGATAAATTAAATGAGTTTTTGATGCAATTATGTTAAATCAATTTGCTAATGTAACAACTATAAATATATGTATCAATAACAGGTTAAGTATAGTCATTATAGGGATGAATATTATGCTAAAAGGACACTAGCTTAAATATATTCACCCTTATGAATATATAATCAAACATCTATTAGCAAAGGATAGAGATAAAATATTCTGCCCTATTTGTTTGTGAATTTCACCACTGTTTTTGGAGTAACTGGTAATATATTTAGACCAATTGGTTTGCTGTTGTCAAAGATAGTCAATTTATTTGGAAAAACATTCTGAGTTTAGTATAAAACCAGGCAGATGAAGGCTGTTAAATGCCACGCGCTTTGTGAGAATAATGTATTTTTTTGTCTTCAAGCAGATCCCTACATAGCGCCTGCACAAACAGATTCATGATCACAGCCATGAATAATGAGACATTTATCAGATTAGCGCTTCTCTCCAGCTGGGTCTGTCCGCCAGTGTGTTTCCTCCAATGATCTATCCTCACTTTCTGTGGACGTTTCTGTTACACCTGGACCCCACCTTCCTCAAATCTCTCAATTGCTTTGTATTTCTTTCTTCTGCTGTTTTATTTTTAAGTGATCCAGTCTGGATTTGTTTTGTCAATTAAAGTCAGCAACCTACTTTAAACTAAATGTAAAACTTTCTTTTTTCTTACTTGCAAGTTTCATTGCTTTGAATATTGTGTAATTTCTTCATTGAACATATACTTATCTTAGTGATTAAGTGTCCCTGAAAAGAAATCTGCAACTATTGTAGATGTTATCCAAATGAAACTTGTAGTTTTTATCCGCCAAGTACCATTGAATTGAGCTTTTACTGTTTAGCTCTGCCTCTCTGCTAGAAGAAGTCCCATGTGTAGCTTCGGCAGCCGCTAACTGTTTGTATTTCCTTCTTGCTTCCCAATGAAACGATTATTTAACCAGTGCTTTCTGTGCTGCTGTCTCCTGTCTTAACTTCCAAGCTTAGTATGTTCCATTTGGATGTTTCTTCCTGTTAAATGGTCGGTGTTAATCTCTAGTGATGCTACATGCTTACTTAGGATGAGAGATTGCTGCAGAGTCAACGACTCCATTCAACCACCAGGGCCTTTCGCGTAATGTTTTTCAACCTATAGCAGTTGCATTATAAATAGGTCTGAAGTGAACTATGCAGGTTAATATCAAACTGACAATGGTTTTTTTTATTTAAAAACTACATTTACTGTCAATTTGTGCTATGAAAAAATTCAATTTAACTGATTTCAATTAAACTGAATAGAAATTTTTAGACATTTCCGGCTGATTTAATGATAGCTATTTGATTTTGTTAGCAGCACTTTGAGATACACTATTAATAATATTCATTATTATCATTGTTATATTTTTAAATAATTGTCTTAAAGGAATAGTACACCCAAAACATGATTAGCCTTCATTTTCTACTCACCCCCCATGCTGAACAAAACTCTGGAGTACTTTTTTGATATCTCAAATGCATCTGGAGATCTGGGAGGCTTCTTGCTGTCTGCTGACATTCAAATAATGGAGGTCTATGGTGCCCGAGACAGAAAGGTCCATAAAAGTCCACAAAAAACTTGTCAATATTCCTCCATACTGCTCGTCCAATGTAATCCAAGTGTCCCGAGTGGGTAGCATCCAGAATTTACTCGAAACGAAGTCATTTAGAACGTTTTAGAGCCTAAACAGTAGTGTATAGGATTTCCTAATAGCGCCCCCATGCGCGCTCACGATTCTACGGAAGCCGGCAGACCAAACCAGCGCATTCAGCTCGGCAAAGAACTCATGCTCTTCCTCAACACTGAAGTCCTCAGACATTTTTCTTTCATTGTTTCTTTCTTTGCACAGGTAAACAGCACATTTCTTCTTCTACGCTTGCATTATCGGCAGAGCAGACGCTGAATGCGCACTTTCTTCCGGTTTGGTCTGCCGGCTTCCGTAGAATCGTGAGCGCGCATGGGGGCGCTATTGGGAAATCCTATACACTACTGTTTATGCTCTAAAAACATTCTAAATGACTTCGTTTCGAGTAAATTATGGATGCTACCCACTCAGGACACTTGGATTACATTGGACGAGCAGTATGGAGGAATATTGACACGTTTTTGTGGACTTTTGTGGACCTTTCTGTCTCGGGCGCCATGGACCTCCATTATTTGAATGTCAGCAGACAGCAAGAAGCCTCCCAGATCTCCAGATGCATTTGAGATATCAAAAAAGTACTCCAGAGTGTTGTTCAGCATGGGGGTGAGTAGAAAATGAAGGCTAATCATGTTTTGGGTGTACTATTCCTTTAATGTTAACCTCCATCTCCATGGCAGAAATGTTTCTTTATCTTGAGCCACTCCTAAACTGTCACTATTGCACCGACTTTACTCATTACTCAAGGTGGAACCAGACCGGTTTGCTAATCTTATCCAGCCCATTTAATGCATTTATTTTTGGCCCACAAACTTCGCCTCTCCTTATTTGGGTTCTTCGAAGGTCAGGAACATTGAGTTTTCCTACAGTTCTGCTGTTTTCTGTCTTATTTCCCATTTCTAGTTACACTAAAACATGTGCTTATCCTCTTTTCAGTTATTTACCAGGCTTGTCTTTTAAGGAGAGTGGCGGCTTAGTGGTTAGGGCATAGAGTTTGGAATCCTGAGGTTCTGAGTTCTAGCCCCACTCCCACAGACTGCCCCTGTGGGTCTCTGAGCAAGACCCTTTACCCCACACTGCTTTCCGGGTGCACAGCCAATGCTCCCCAAGGGGATGGGTTAAATGCAGAGGTAAATTTCCGCAATATGAGATCAATAAAGTTCTATTAATTATTTTTATTGTCTCTCCCTGTCCTTTTGTCCTTCCATCATCTTCATCTGATTTGCTTTGTTCATATTTTCAATAAAGAGACTTAAAGAAACCGACAA